CCCCAAAACCCCAAAACCCCAAAACCCCAAAACCCCAAAACCCCAAAACCCCAAAACCCCTGTCTCTCAAATCAGTGTTGAACAGAGAAAAATAGTGAAGACTCGATCCCATTTTTCTTAACCACCAATGGTAAATAATCCATGATATTGGTTATCTCTATCTGGGTAAACAATTTTGGGTTGTAACTTTCAAGAAAATTCAAATATACTTGAGGTGTTTAACCTCTACTAACAATTAGGTTAACCAGAACTTATCTAAATTTTTAATAATTTTATTTTTGCAATGTTTGGATTCTGGGAGATAGAGAACGATAGCATGATGAAACACCGGATAGCTGATGTCAATGTGGTTGATTTATCAGAGAGCGGAGATTCGGTAATAACCCAGGTTTACGAGACATTCTTTACTGGATTTAAATCTAATTTAGCTTTTAATAAACATTAAAGACAAGCAAATAAAATTTGCTGATTCTAAATTTATTTTTCTAAGTGAATGAGAGAGCTTGGAAGGATAAAACTCATATACCATGGCTCATTTCAATTATTCAAATAGTTAAAATTATGATATGACCCTGGTATGGTGCACGCAAATAATATTCATGATCTACTTTATTCTGTAAACAATAACGGAAAAAATGTCATCTTTTTTAGGAAAACCCTCCAGACAAGAAGGTATACAGTAGTGAAGAAAAGAATTTAAATGTTACACATCAGGAACACCATATATTAACAAGCCCAGCAAAGTAAGCAAGTTTAATCCTAACTTACTTATCCTTCTATATGTACTCTTTTCTAAAGCACGTGTAAAGTTTTCAGAGTAAATAAGCTTTTAAAGAATCCGCAGTTTTGAAAGCGAAAGCTTTTGAAGAGTTTTGAATTCCTAAACTTTCAGGATCAGTCAATAAAAATAACTTAGCTTATTTTATAGTCCAAAGAAGCGGATGGCTTGCTTGATAGATTCTGATTCAGAAGCGATGATTGATTGAGAGGACAAGAATGAAAAAGGCTCTTTGGTGAAATCTGAATACTCCTTTGAGAAAACAGAAGATTTTAAAATGAGGGAAGGAGATGCATTAATTAAAAGCAATCAAAAGACAATAGAGAAGGTATTTAAGAGAACTTATTTTATAGGTTGATGATGATATTCTCAGACATTATCACATTAATTGTCAAACGAAATTCAACAAGATGAACACAATTTTTGAATGAAGCATCTTGGTCAATATTGACGAGCTAGGTAAGCTCTTTCTCTACGATAGGCAAGAAAATTCCAAAAATTGAAATAGAAAAGAAGATAAAAGAGGTAGATAAAATCATGGAATTTTGATCATATTTAAACTTTTCTGCAAGAGGAGCCAGATTTTACATTGTACCTGCAAGCTTCAAGACCATGCAAGCTGATCAAAAAGACAAAAAATCCCTTGAAGAGGTATTTGTACTTTGATAACTATACCACAACTGGTTTTCGAGATAACTCGAGAAATATCTAAAAAACATTTTGAGAATTTTTTAAGTATGGTGGGATTTATCTTAATCCTTGACTTAATGGTCATTTTAGGAGAAGTGCAAGGTAGTAAGCCTTCAAGACTGGCACAAAGAATTTATCCATCCAGAGTCCCATCAACTTATGGTTACAGTTAGCTTCTTCTGGGTCGCAGACTATTTGAACCCAAAAGTTAAAATCGGAATGATGCCAAGAAAAGTAATTGATCAAGTTGTAGACTTATTCTCCAAGATCAAACAAATGCTCAGATCGATCAGGATAATGAGAGAGTCAGAAGAAGATGATGGAGAGAGTGAAGATTTTTTCACTCCGTTTAATCTTTCCATATTGACGTCCTAGCAAGAAAATGATTTATAAAATTATTATTGATAAAAAGAGTGTTGTGAGCTTCAAGTCTGTTTCAGAAGTACGGGGTTTTGGGGTTTTGGGGTTTTGGGGTTTTGGGG